TTGTTATAAAACTTCTACCTCTACAATTGTGACAGTCACAATTAGTCATGATAACAATTACTCACTATTGAATCATAAGAATCTTATCCCCATCTCTTTTTACCAGACCCATCTAGACAAGATGAAAATTATTCAGTGGAGATTCTGTCTTCCCACACATACTCTTAAACTAAACTCCCTCTTGAAACCTTGTAAGCCAGTCACTTCACGCCTTTAACTCCCCCTGCGTTTTAGGTAGCCAATGTTGCCCATCCCTGTCTACCCTGTATTCAGAGGAGATAGCATTGATACTTGATGTGAAGACTCCTTCCCTCTCTGTTGGTATTTTGAGCTATTACCTCCATGAGTATAGGTGATCATTGTTGCTTTGTCTTCCTCTTCCACACTTTCCTTCCTTCTAAACTACCTATAAAGTCGACAAAATGTTAAAGAAAAAAGTGACCTGTTTTGGAAATCTTAGGGTGCTACAATGCACAAGCTATTCCTGCCCATGGAGGACTCCTAAACTGTCCACTTATTAATTGTAATTATTGATATTTCATAGGAGTTTATTACCAACTAAAAAAGGAAAAATGAAGGGTGAAAAAAATACTTTTACTCTAGGTCAATTAAATGCATTTTTTTTTCTTTTTATTAAAACATAAACACAAATGATTTGCAGGTTCTTTTAACTCAGACATAAAAGTTAAGTTAAGACAGTTGAGTCTTTGGAGAAGTCCAAATGAATTCAGCTTGGGTGTGACTTATATTCATTTTGTTTCTTTCTTTTGCTATTATTCTAAAGATTATAGTTTTATCATTGAAGTAGATATCATTGTAAAATAGTTGCTAAATTATTTCAGAATTATATATATACTTAAATCTTTCTCAAATGTTTAATCCCAAAGGGTGGGTTTTATAGCTCTTTTGAAGCAACAAGAAAAATCTTTATGAAATACTTGAATTATAATGACTATCTTAAAATGTGTCACTTTCACCCTTATTAAGGGAAGTATAATTAGCCACAAACCTTTTAAATATCTGATGGTTGGTGGTTATGTGCCATGGAATTGTATAGGGTTTCTGAGGCTGTAAATCTTTTGGAAGCAGAAAGCCTCATCTTTCTCCAGCTGGTAGTTTGCAATCCAAATCATAACCACTATGCTACCAGAGCTCCTTTTTAAACATATGAATCAACTATGTATATATATATTGTTGTTAAGTGCCATTGAGTTGGTTCCG